GAAACGGCTGAACCGATTTTGAACGGACCTTTCACTGGCAGATAGCTAATGTTATAAGAAGTAATTTAAGGCTATTTTTATTTTAGAAAAAAAAATGGGGTGCCGCGCAAAAAATTAAAACCCATTTTCTTGGGTAATAAATTACGCGCGGGCGAAGTCGCGGGGAACAGCTAGTACTACATAAAAATTCATGCGTGGAGTATGACTATAACATAAACTGAACCGGTTTGTGTCAAGTGACACAATCTGGAATGACAAAGCAAAAGGAATACAAGTGACAACCAGACTCCCTCTCTATAAATAAGTTAAAGCTGGTCAAAGCCCTAGATGAAGTTATAAGGTTATTTGGCTTTTTTAATCTTTCTCTTTTTTGTTTTCACCTTAGACAATAATAATAATGTAATGATGATGGTGATGATAATGATTACGATCATCAATGATGGTAATCATCATTACAGTTCGTCACAAGTCAACTGCCGAACATAGGCCTCCACCAAGGAATGCTAGGAAGCCCGGTCCTTAGTCACCTGCATCCATCGACTTTCAAAGTAACCGACTGATGCACACTTAATATCTTGTGGGAATTTCTATCAATCATTCAACATACCTACTAGGTCCCTTGACGTACTTTTTTATACGTGGGAAATCCCCATGGGAACCTGTCTATCGACGGAAAGTCCATTGCTGAAGGTTTATTCCCCTTTTGCAAAGAGATCGTCACGCTTGGCAGGCGGGTTGACGATCGTGGTACTAGACGTTTTGGAGCTTTAAATTTGCAGCCCTTCGCCGGTCTGGGTGTTTAACGCTACCTGCTGATGGTCTAATATAAATAAATATGGTACACCGCCATCTACCGGAAGCCATAAAATATAAATAAACATAGTCGCCTCTTACAACACCCACGCGTCGAAATTGTGAGATGGATTCTTTTACAACGGCAAACACATACGAGTATAACAATATGTTCCATTTGTATGTGTAGATGCTGATACTTTCCTCTATGCAGAGCTTGTGAGCGGGAATAAATAAATATAATATTTTAGTGTCTATAATATGACATATATTGCTTCATTAACAAACTTTTCCACGTTATTTATTATTTTTAAATAAAAAGTAAAGTAACGCTTTTTGTATTAAAACATTAGTCACTATGCGTTCTATTCGAACTTAATCGGGCCAGCCCGAGCGAATGTCGTCATTGTAACTGCCGCGTTTAAATTCAGCGTACCCAGGCACCCACAGAAATGTCTGTGAGCGCACCAGTATGCCACTGAAGAATAAGACGGAACATTGTCTGTCAAAGTAGACTGCAGTTTTTCAAAACAATTTTTGTAAAAAAAAATCAGGCAGAAATATTTAATAACCACACGAAGTTTCACAGTTTCGGTTATAAGTTTATTTCTAAAGATATTTGAACGCTTAGTTTATCCAATTTTAACAAAATTATTGTAGAGACACAACACGGGTTTTGCAAAGATTTTTTTTTATAGGATAGGGTGACAAACGAGCACACAGTCCACCTGATGGTAAGTGGTTGCTGTGGCCCATAGACATCTACATTTATCCTCGTTTGCGAATCAAAATGCAGATGCGTTGTCACCCGTGAGGACTAAGATAGAATGCCTCTTTTCCAGTAAAAAGGGTCTCCGGTTCTCTACACTTACCATACGAAACACAGTAGCATAAAGCTGCTATTTGACGCTGGTATTCTGATAAATGCAATGTTAGCAATTTGATGGATTAAGTTACAAAAGTTGCAAGTGCAATGGATGGTCAAATGCAGGTGGATTCCATATAGACAGATTTTTCTAGTGCATTTGATATCGTGGACCATCTATCGTGGACTAAGATCTTATCTTAAAAATAGATTACAAAGTGTAGTATTGCATGGATATACTAATGATTATGTGGCTCTGTCAGGCGTACCCCAAGGTTCACATATTGGTCCTACTCTTTTTTGTGTTTATTAATGACAAAACAAATAATATTAATGCCTTCAAAAAAAAACTCAGATTCTGATAACTATCTATAATGAGTTAATTCGTAGCAGCTTAGAATGTGCCACAGTGATATGGAATCCTTCTTATAAAATACACATTGACAGAATCGAGCGTATTCAAAAAATTTCACTCGATTCATCACTTATAAATTTCAAAACTATCCATACTATACTGATTATAAATCTAGGCTTTCTCATCTCTGAATGAGTTCACTGGCAGACCGACGAAAACTTTGAGACCTAATGACGCTACCATAAACTTCTACACGGTAAGTTAATTTCACTTTTACACAATTTATAGTTTTAAATTTAGATTTTTCTGAAAAAAAAAATCGAACGCATTTCTATAACTCATTGATGAGTCCTTTATATATATATATATATATATTATATGTAAGACACAGCAATAAGTCTATGTGATATGATAGTCTCAAGCAAAGAATATATAGGTAATCACTACGTTTTAGTGTCAGGCTTAAACTATAGTTTTAGAATAGTCCTTCTAAAGATGTCCCTTCAGTGCGGCGCCACTGCGTTCGCAAAATTTGATATTTTGCTATTTTCACATTTTCAATTTCCATACATAACATTTTTCTTCGCATATTTTTGCGGGACATCTTTCGTTAAACAGATTTTAGTTTTAGCCTGAGACTAAAGCTAAACAACTAATTTTTGTTATAAGGTGGAATAGTTATAAGTGTTTGCGTTTGCTCTTTATTTAGCATTTTTAAAATAATTTTAAAGTAAATAATTTTCTTAATAATAATTTTATATAGTTCGTAAATTTAAACAATTCGTATTTCATAAGAGGTCTAGGAAAATAGCGCATAACGCCAGTAACAACACCAATGTTTAATTTATTTCTATTTATTGATTCAATTTGAACTTCGAACTCACAATGAAATGCAGCACAGTAAACACAAAAAATCTCAAACCATTTATTATGTTCTTAAATTACGTATAACAGTGAATAGGGAATTACAGAAACCGGGACTCCTCTACATACATCAATTATTGACATTTATTACGACGAATATTTTTTTGACATCGATCCGTTCACTGACAACATCAATGTCGACAAGAGATAGACTGATATTGAGCAAAAAGTTTTGTTAAAAAAATAAGTGATCGGCTTGTTACATAGAATCGTTAGTAAAAATACACAGCGGTTACTTTATGCAGGATTATTAAAACTTACGTTATACACAGTGAGTAGACTTATGTAAATGCCGTACAAGCCACGGGCTGGCGCTTACGCCCTTTTTGTTGCGTCATGGATAAATTGATGTCAGCGCCACCTATCGAGAAACATTTTGCGCTTGTTATGTCTAATTGTTACACCATGTATGGTCGAGAAGTTTGTATATTTTTTTATTTATCCACATCGCAACAAAACAGGAGCAACAAAAAGCGCCGTGGCGTTTCTGATATGACTTTGTTGATGTAGCAACGCCACTATGCCCGTAAACAAATAGAATAAGTGTATATAAATTAGCTTATGTAACAAATAAGCTTAAATGTATATAATACTGAGGCAGAATTACATCTTAACTACGGCGTAACATTAAGTGTGGTTGGGATTAGACACGAGCGCAAGCCCTTATTTTAAACGGACGAATGCGATATATAATAATATTTTGCTTTATATCTATGTATCTGACGCTAAAACATCTATATAATGTATTACTTTTTGTACATCTACTTATAAATAATCGTACGTACACTCACTAAGCTTACCATCTTGCCGTCACCGAGTACCCAACGTGTTCACATGTTCAAGCTACGATAGTCTGTGATAAGCAGTGACTAGATATTACCATTTGTTTTACGTGACACATATTAAAAACGCTTCACTTGACATTTGACACACTTTGAATACATGGTGTTCTTTAAATGGGAACTATGAGTATTGTCCCGCGGGCGAACAATGTTTGAGATTAAAATCAAATTTAAAGGGAAATAATAACGAAACATTTCATAAGAAACCCATGATCGCGCATTTAAACTAAAAAGTGATTTAGAACCTTTGTGACTAGAATAAGTTTGAAATAAAGAGGCGTTCACCCGCACCGGCTTTGCCGCCCGTACCTTCGCTAAGTACACAATAATTATTAAAATATATTTTTGCATTTTATTACATAGAATTCACGTTATGATCTACCTAAGTTAGAAAAAGAAAGCGGGCTTTAATTGTAAGAAAATTTAGGTTCAATTTCGTACGCGGAGCCTATATACACAGCGTACAATGGACGTTTATTCCTCTCGCCCAAGGGACAATGCCCAGTGCTCAGTCATGCAAGATACAAACTTAACTAAAATACTTAAACAGACGCTTGAAGTTGAGATCAATTGAAGTCATATGTGTTTAATATAATAATAGAAGCTAAAAAGAGACAGATGTTCATTGGGCATTATCACTTGAGCCGCGGCCTCGAAAACTTAATTTAAAACTTGACTACAAGGTGACACTTATGACATCTATGACACTAGACAAAACTTATATCTAACCTTAGAAAAAATAAAAACATTTTGGTGCAAACAAAAAATAATCAAATATATTAAAACATATCGTCACTAACTCTTATTTAGGTATTGTAAGACTGATTGCGAGTATCGCAAATTATACGCGGACTAATCACACAAGCTTTCTCAAAAAGAATGTATAAAGAATATTCTCTTCCACCGGACTTGATTTGGAAGTTATAGAAAACGTTACACACACATTCATTCCATAAAGAATTAGTTTTAGGGGACAAAAGACGAGGGGTACAGAACATATGAGCTTCTACGGGGATTCTAACACACATCACAAAAGAGAGTTAATTTTACTACAAACGAACAAGAGAAGGGGATAACTGGCGCGATCATGTTCAATTTTATTTAAAAAGGTACCCAAAGGTAACCAATAAATAACAGTAAAAGACATTGAAATGTCTACAACTTTAGAGAATGAGAGAAAGAGAAAGAAGTGTCCGGTGGTAGAGTGAGTGGGCGAGAGAATTTACTCCTTGACTTCGAAGTATTTGTAGGTGGGATTCTCATAGCCGTTTATTTGCATGTTGGCAACGTGCCGCTCCTCGGGAGTGGGGGCGACGACGCCAGTTTGCTCCACCTGGAATAAATACATTATTTTATGGTTAAAACGTATACATATACCTGCAGCCACGGACTAAATCTTACACTGAGAGTGTATGAAGCAGCTTAGGTGCCACAATTTTCACACACAAATGACAGTCGGCACCAGTATGCATCGCGCATTTGTGTGCGTGAATCTCTCCTATGGTAAACAAAATTGTAGGACCTAGGATGCTTCTACGTTTAAATCTGAGCCTATAGCAATCAAAGTCTTAAATTCTTAAATCATGAATAACTCAGAAAGTCTATTTTCATTGGTATGAACTTAATTTGGTTAATTAAAGTTTTTTACTGTAATTATTTTCAGATTTTCTGTTGTTTGCTGGTCGATAAATTATAAATTGCTAAGAAATTAATGATAATTTCTTAGCAATCTTAGCAAGCAAATTCTTAGCAATTATGGAATTTACGAACGTCACATTACGAATAACATACGACTACTTGTATGATACATGTGTGTGATATTTGTGCAAAGATGCTTGCGCGTTAAAAACTTTCTCTCTTGACCTTTGAAACTGGAATACAGCAAAGATTTACAGACAATAAAGCAGTAGTTTAGTAGTAGCTTCAGTACAGGAACTTATATATGCTTTTGACCTAAAAATCACATTCCAAGTGTAGGTACATTAAAGAGTGAAATTGTCGAAAAATTAAATAACATTTAACAGAAGTTGCCTGTAATATTCTTACACCTATATTCATTTTTTTATCTTTTTTTCAGTCCCTTTAAGAAAAGATCACAGGCCAACAAAGAAAGATCCAAACCCAGAAAGATCTAGACCTGCGATTTTTCCGGACCGATACGACTTAGGGACCTTCAAGAAAAGAGCCTACTCCTTTTTAAAAGGCCAGAAACGTATCTGCAATTCCCCTGGTGTTGCAGTTGTTCATGGGCGGCGGTAGTCACTTCCCATCAGGTGAGCCGTGTGCTCGTTTGCCCCCTCTCCTATTAAAAAAATGGAACGCTACGTACATTTCAAATGAGGCCGAAACCATACTCAAGTTCTTGATTACGTACACATTTTCTTCTTTTTTTAAGCAACGTGAACGCATACATAAGCACCTAAAATCATTTCGTTGGTTGCAAATGACTTTAGATGCATATGTGTGTGTTTTGGCTTTGTTTCAGTGCTACTTGAAATGTACGCATCGCCATCTTTCTTAGTTCACTCGAACTAATAAAGAAAGATAGAGAAAGATATAGTGGCTGTGTAAGAATATCTACTACCGCATATCGTCCCACGGGTGTTGTAAGAGGCGACAAAGGGGAATTGAAACAAAGATAGGCAACAACACTTCCTAATAACAACTCAAAATAATAAAAAACTGCGGTTGCCAACCCACATGCCGAGCGTGGCAATTATGGCAATCTATAAAGGAGGCATATGTCCAGCAGTGGACTTTTTACCACGTTTTTATTGACTTGCTTTCGCGTCTGTTCGGGTCGAATTTAGTAATTTTTTTATAGGAGAAGGGTGACAAACGAGCACACAGTCCACCTGATGGTAAGTGGTTGCCGTGGTCCATAGACATCTACATCTATCTTCGATTACGAATGAAAATGCAGATGCGTTGTCACCCGTGAGGACTAATATGGAATGCCTCGTTTCCAGTAAAAAGGTTCTCCGGTTCTCTTCACTCACCATACGAAACACAGAAGCGTTAAGTTGCTATTTGACGCTGGTATTCTGTGAGAGCGTGGTCCTTCCCCGGTCGAGCCGACCCATTCGTGCTACAACCATAATATAGCTGCAGCATGGCTCTACCACGTATAAGCGTATATAGTAATTAATTTTAAACTAGTTTCCCGATGAGCTAGATATTTGAAATTTTGAACATAGCTCAAAATTAGATGACAATGTAAGAATATGAAAAAAAAAAACATCGAATACTAAATAATTTTAATAGATTTTTTTTTATTTAACTTGTTTAGGCTGTAATGGATGAGTGGATGACATAAAATGTTAGCATTAGCAAACCTAGTGGAAACTTACATGACGTACCTGCACGAAGCCCTGCGCGGCGGGCGCACGGTCGCGGCGGCGTGCTACAGCGAGCGCAACGGCTGCAGCGGCGGCCAGCGCTGCGCCGCCCACGCACAGCGCCGGGTACAGCGCGCCCGACCCGCTGCCGCCCGGCGACCCGCGCACCGTGTAGCCCTGCATCACCCACCGTACGTTCAAAATCGAACTCAAACGAATTTTATTATAGCATAGGCTGATTTAAAACGTTTCTCTCAAAAAGAAAAAAATCCGGCAAGTAACTGCCATTGTTATTTCCTGTTTTTATATTTTTAAGACAATGTAAAGTTCCATTTTACAAATGTAATAATCAGTAAAAGAATAAATTAAAAATTTAAGTATAAAGCTCTGTTATGGTATGATACTCTAGCAAGGAACTTCATCATCCCGTTTCTTCCCGTGAGTGTCCCAAGAGGCGCTTATGCGTAAAGTTCACAGCTGGGTCTCTACTGATCTAAGGATATTTCTCTCTCACTCTGAATATAGCTCAGGCTTAAGATTGCTTGTCGATATGCAGTCCCACCCGTTTGTGAGAGTGAGGGAATAGATAGTACACCTGTGCTTGCGCATATACTTGGGCACTATAATCTTATCATGCGCAGATGGCTAGTGTCTGTGAGATTAGCCGCCATAACCGAAATTTGGTCTAGAGGATTATGGCATCATGGATAGAATAAAACGTGCATCATAAAATGGTTGTACTCACAGGTTGCGTATGCTGCAGCTCGTGCTTGAGTGCGTGTGCAGGCGGGGGAGGAGCGCGTTCCTCGGCCTGTTCCAGAGCAGCACGCAGACCCTCACCTTCAGTCTAATTACACAAAGAATACAATTTTTAAAAATAAAAAAAGAATGCGTTAATGGCGTGGAACACTCGGTTGGAACGAAATTCTTTGCGTAGTAATTATTGATAAAATGAAGCGTCATTTGAAATAAAATAATATTTCTTTCATGGCAAGATAAGAAAAAGTGCGAGGGAGATGGATTTTATTCCATCTCACTTCCTTATTTCGCCGCCAAGGCCGTCTACACCATAGTGTCGTGTACACACAAGGGGTCGTGACGAGAAAATCTTACACTTTTTGTCGCCTAGTTCCCATCCGCCAAACCCGTACCGTCCGGTATATACAATAATATTGCACATTTCATAGGGGAGATATTTTGACAGCTCCGTGGCGCAGCGCACGGAACAAGTATTTTTATGTCCTACAAATATCTGTTCTGGGTTTGGAAGTTTGTTCTTGTGCAATTTATGTATGTAAACTGCCACTACAATACAGAAGAAAATTTTAGAGTGAGCTTAACCTTTTTTTATTTCCATAGTTGCCACGTTTTTCTTTTAATTATTAGGAAAGTTATCATTTTTTTATTGTTTTTAAGAAAAGAAAAAAAAACAGGTGAACAGATATTCAGAGCAGGATGAATTACATTATGTAGGTTGTTTTTATCCTGCGGGGTTTGAACCCTCGCAGTACCTAAGCCAAACGCCGTCTTCTACTGAACCGTCAATGAAGTCATTTTTTGATGGCGTCTATCTTTCCGTACTAATACAATCTGGACGTCTTCAAGGTAAGAGTAAATATGCTTTTGTTACACTAAGACAGTGCGATTTACCATCTAGGGCTGCATCACAGCTTACCACCAGGTGGGATTGTTATCAAGCACTGGCTTATAATAATTTAAAAAAAATTGTGCAGCGCTACACTATTGAAAGATACCGCTGCCCATCTTCTAATTCAAAGTTTTCCTCTATCGTCTTATACTATGGAATATAGTAGCCCCACACAGTATACCTCAGAATCCAAAAATAACACAGCCAGTGCGTGTCATCTATAATGTCTTATAGAACTCAGACTTTATCCTTCACTGCTGGCTGTATAAGGAAGGTCAAGGTCACCCAGCAAGCTATCTAAAGGTTAATAGTTTTAACGAAATCAGTAAAAATAGCAGAGATAACCTCAAGGCTAGGCACTCGCTACTTTAACAGTACGCGAGCAAGCCGATTTCGATTCTCACCGGTAGGTACCAATGAAATGCAATTTTTGATACTGATTTACAACGTGCTCGGCGGTGAACAAAAACATCGTGAGTAAGTCTGAAAATTTCTGAGGAATAAAATATTTCACGGATATGTAAAGGGCGAAAACACGCACTCTATCAGCACACTTAATGTTCTAAAACCTCCTTCGAAATGAGGAGAAACTCACTTTTACATTAAATATGTTTTTACCTCACTAGTTGTTCGTCGGCTCGAAGTTTCACCAATCTCACCAGTTTCGGTTTCAGTTTCGGGTGCCTCAGTCACCGTGCTCGTTGGAAATTCCTGTTGTAATATAATATTATTAATGATATAAAAAAAACAAAAAGTAAGTGTGTATAAGTGGCCAGTTCTTATTCTTGAGTGTCTTTTAGGGCAAAAGAGAATACGTTGCACTACCGCACGTTTTGGTGGACTTCATAAACATGTCATACAGCTTTGAAGCGATCACCTCATTCGCAGAGATTATTATCAACCATGTATTCATTCATAATAAAATATTCCTTTTTAATTACTAAAAAACTTGGCAATAGAGAAACCTTGAATATAAATCGCGGCACGTAAGTCTAGCGCTGAACGAAACGTGGAGGGGAAGCGCACGAACTGAATTGCACGAATACGACTGGAGAGCCAATCAGTGCATGCAGACGATACACACGAGCCAATCGGCGCGACTTATGCGCAATAACGGTTACCGCTAGACTTTGGTGCCATTACTTATATTAAAGCATCGTTTTTTCATTGCAATGACACACAGTATGTTTTATACGTGGTACGCTCTAACTATATTATGGTGGTAGCAAGAATGCCGACCCATTCGTGCTACACTTCAACCAGGGAAGGACCACGCTTTTACAGAATACCAGCGTCAAACAGGAGCTTAAATCTTCTGTGTTTCGTATGGCGAGTGTAAAGAACCGGGAACTCTTTCTACAAGAAACGAGGCATTCCATCTTAGTCCTTAGGGGTGAAAATAGATGTTGATGTCTATAAACCGCAGCATCCACTTACCATCGGTACACTCTCGATAATAGTTCGTCACTTTTATTCTATATAAAAAGTGTTTTCCTACATTTAAACAGGTAATTGCGTTTTTAAGTATTTTTATACAAAGCAATCGGCTATTGTCAATGTTAATATTTCAAACTCACAGTAGTTGTAGTTTCCTGGGTGTACGCCATCCGGGTGGTAGAGTCTCGGACGATGGCTGGAGAAGCGGACGATGCGGGCGAGGCAGAGGGCGAAGGCGCCGGGCTGTGGGTCGTGGGGGCCGAAGTTGTCTCCTCGGTCTCATTCACCTCATTGGCTTCGTCATCGATCTCTTCGCTCTCTTTAACGCCGTTTAGAGTCTGTAATAATAGTTTTAATTAAGGAACAACGATTAAAGAATGAATAAAGTTTTTGCCGACCTATAAATCCTTACGAATATGTGCGTGCAAAGTAAAATAGAAGACTTTAGATATTTATGAATGACAATCAATTAAAATAATGCATTACAACGCATTTTGAATTTAAATGATAATTAGGACAGAATATTTGAGATTCTTTAAATGAATTTTTCTTCGCTATTTGCCTATATTACTTATTCTGAACCTTCTCTGCAAATTTAGTCGGTTATTGCAAAGTAACTCTGTATGTGGTATTTGATAACATTTTTTGATTGCACTTTGAATTACCAGCAAAAGATTTTTTTGCTCCATATATATTCTCACCTTAGTCCGTTCGTTCTGAATGTCTTGGCGCTGCCGAGTCCGCTGGTCTCGCTTAGCACTCAACTGTTCCCTCGCGGCCTGCTCCCTCTGCACCTCAGCCTCAATACGATCCAGGAGGAGTTCTTCAGCTTCGGGAGTCATCGACATCAGGGAGACTGCCATATCGTCTTTGGATTGCATGGACTGAATACATAAAAAAAATTATTGTTTGATTATAGGGCGTCTTTCAAGTTTCCTCTATTACAACTATACATTAACTTGACTCGTCATTGATTTTTAGAAAAACAAGGTTGGCTAACGGAAAACGTACACACAGTCCGACACATAATAAGAGTGTGCCGTAACCCATAAGCACATGAATCGATTCTCGATTAAGAAATAAAATGCGAATGTGTAGTAACCACTAATGAATAAGATGGCATGCCTCATTATAAGTGAAATGGTTCTACGGTTTCCTATATTAACCATACGAAATACAGTGGCTTTATGGTGAGAGGCAGTATAGTGAGAGCTTGGTGATATAATTAGCATACCTACTATTCTCAAATTATTCTTTTAGCTACAAAATAAAGTTACAAAAGAAAAAGCAAAAAGACGCGTTCTTATTGTTAAGAGGACAATAGAATATGTTCACCACATTAATTGACAAAATTCACAAGTACTCGAGGGAGACCGTGTAGAGCCGGGAAATCAGGGGCCAAACTCGCCTAAAATTTGACACTACTCAATCAACCCGGTTTTCAATCACCCGACATTAATACAATTGTTAATTGCAATTGTAATTACTGATGTACCACGTGCGCGGTGGTGAAGAAAAACATCGTAAGACTGCATGTTTGAAGAATAAAAACATTTCAAATGCATGAAGCCAATTGTCTATAATTCTCTCAGAAATTACACAATATTCTTAACAAAAAAAATATACCTCAGATAAACTTTAGTTAATAAAAGAATAGTTCAACCAATTTGTTGAACAAGACCCCAGCAGACCAGACTCAACAAACAGCACCTGTTCTCGAGTGTAACGTATGTGGTTGTCACTGTCCTCTTCGACCGTATTAACAGGAAATGGCGATCCGTTGCAAAACCTATACAAACTAAAATTACGCAAATACTTCATTCATAAATGTCTTACCTGGACGTAGTCTTCAATAGCGGTTCCAATGCTTGCGTACAGATGAGGTCGGCGGCGGAGTGCGGACAGAGCACGTTGTAAAGCCCGGTCGGCATCCTGTTGTATGTAAATAGAATCAGGAATTAACATTATTATAATTTTAATACTTTATAGTGTTTCTATCCGGAGGCCAGTAAGTACACCACAAGTCCAGTGTTGTTGGAACAAACAATCGTTTTCTTACTGCTTCTAAGCCTGCCACTGATTTTATTTTATACTAGCTGTACCCCGCGACTTCGCCCGCGTGTAATTTGGTTTTAATTTTTTTGCGCGGAACCCTAAATCCTTTTCTAAAATAAAAGTAACCTAAGTTACTCCTTATAATATTAGCTATCTACAAGTGATAGTCCCGTCAAAATCGGTTCAGCCGTTTCGGAGATTAGCCGGAACAAATACATAGACAGACAGACAAAAATTTAAAAAATATGTTTTTGTTATAAGTACCATATATACTTTCATATGCGTTTAGTAAAAAGCTGTTATTTTGATATTACAAACAGACACTTCAATTTTATTTATTTGTATAGATGTACTAGAAACTACTACATCAAATGCCATACCGTGTAGTTATGGCGTTTGAGACTCCACCACTTCATTTTGTGTGTCGTAAAAGGCAACTTTGGAAAATTCCAGAAATATCTTATGACATCGAAAAAATAGCGGTATTACCTCTACAGTACATCTAGTGTTTTTTTTTCTATAAGATTGGGTGACAAACGAGCACACAGTCCACCTGATGGTAAGTGGTTGCTGTGATCCATAGACATCTATTCTCAATAAAGATTCAAAATGCAGAAGCGTTGCCATCCGTGAGGACTAAAATGGAATACCTCGTTTCCAGTAAAAAGGGTCTCGGGTTCTCTACACTCACCATAAGAAACACAGCAGTGTTAAGCTGCTATTTTACGCTGGTATTCTGTGAGAGCGTGGTCCTTCTCCAGTCGAACCGACCCATTCGTGCTACAACTATACTACTAATGTTGCAGCATGGCTCTACCACATATAAAAGTCTTGCCTAAGCGCCCCAAAACTGGGACATAACCATTTCCACTCGTGGACTTTTCTGGACTTTTGTGATCTGTATTTAAGATTAGGTTGAAAAAAGTCACCTGAAGGCGATCGGCAGCAGAAGCGCGCTCAGCAGCGGCGGCTTCCCTTCCAGCGGCGGCAGCGCGGCGCCACGCGGCTAAAGCTCCGCTCCGTTCAGCTGCAAGCGCTCGAACAAGACGCTGCAAGCACTTCTGTACCCGATGCGCCTGCAATTATAATTCGTTTTAGAACAATAAAACGTAAGCATATACACAAGCTGATATTCCTTTTATCATCATCGCTGCAAGTCGATATCAAAAGACCACTGTTGAAAATGAACAAGCTATGGAGATGGCTATACTCGAAGTTTAACTGCGTGATAGCATCCATAACAAGAAAACTTAATACAGCCTAAATTACTATAAAGCTTAAGTGACGAAATACTCTCGAGAAATCTTCTGCTTAATGGAGTGACGATCTAATAAATCATTATTCCTCTATGCCGATCTATCGCGTAAACATCAAAATCAATGCACTGTCTCTTTCTGGATGTACCCTGACGTCGTCTTCCGTGGATATTTCAAAGCCAAAACTTTTTATTCAATTTGGATTTGTTTAATGATCTTAAAAATATCCAAATCTACACCGGTTCGGAAAAAACCTTCTCAAAGAAGATCCAACAAGAAACTTTATGGTATTTTTCTTTTATTGTACAAATGCACAATGCATATTAATATTTTTTAAACGTCAATCCTGTCATTCAGAGTGCATTCAAGAAGGGTTACACTCAAATGGGTGGAACTTACATTGGGTGGGGTGTCTCGGAGGGAGCGCGTGTAGCAAGCAAGTGCGGTGCGGCGGCGCTGTGCCAAGTGAGCCAGGACTCGTTGCTGATGCAGAGCGGCGAGGCGACGGCGTTCAGCTACACCTTCCTCTTCCAGGGACTGTCGGAAAATATAGTTATTAATGTTATATTTTGTTATAAATGGTCTTTAATAATTATTTTGGGACAAACGAACGTACAGTCCACCTGATGGTGCTACATCAGTCCATAAGCACCAGAAGCCAACTTCAAGTCAAGAAAGCTACAGATGCAATACTACGAGTATGTCTGCGGTTTCTCTATACCATTCAGACCGAACCATCGATATATATGTACTACGCTCTAGATTTCACATTCCAAACATTGACTATGTTCAACTGAACTATACTGCAATCCGTACACTAAACTAAATATTGCGTAAATTGAAGATTAGTTAATTCCATAAAATAATAATTATTACATTTTATTTAGAAATATGTTTGTTTAGATTAAAATAAGAGTATTTTATATTAAATTCTTATATTTATTTTATATTAAAATCTTATATTATATTAAATTGAAGTCTTCGCGCATACGCGACTCTACTATCTCCCGCGCATGCGCGTAGACATAGAGTAGCGCACAATTTTTGTTTGGAATGGCTTCTCTAGTACGTAGTACATATAACTCTATGGACCGAACATACAACAGTGCAGGTACTGCTATTTGGCGGCACAAATAGGTACGAGGGCAGTATCTACCCAGACGGACTCCTGCCATCTATTATTAGTTAAATTCTATTGTATTATATAATATTAATACTAAAAATATCCACTGCTCCTGGGTAATATAGTCGTACTGTTTAAATAATGGCTGAATGTTAAAGTTTTTAAAAAGTTACCTCGCGTACATCCGCTCGATAAAATAAATTGATGTGTCTTAACTAGTTTGAAGAGCACCTCCCGCCCTCCCTCAATTGCGTGCACTATCCCCGTCACCACTAACCCCACCACCACTACTCATCTCACCAATATCTACCAAAACCTTCCCAATATCTATACAAGACCTTCATAATATATATTTTGAAGATTTTTGTAAAATTAAGGATAATTTTAAATTAATTGACCACACGAGTCCACAACTAAAGAATAAAACGATAAAGATATTCTTTTTCAACCGAATTCAAAAAGGAGGAAGTTCTCAATTCGTCGGAATCTTTTTTTTATGCATAGATTAATGATAAGTCATCGCGCGCTCTCACTTATCATTAATCTATGTTTTTATGTATGTTCACCGATTACTCAAAGACGCCTCAACCGATTTGGAAAATTCTTTTTGTTTCAAATGGTATACTTCCCAGGTGGTCCCATTTAAATTTTGTCGAAATCGGTTGAGCGGTTTTTAAAAAATCAACAATAAATTATTTATATTGAAGTCGGTTGTACAAAATTTTTAAATTTTACCACTTGTAGTTAGAATAAAGTTTTAAAATGATATTCATCTACCCGGGAAACAAACAACGAAAGAATATCTGCAGGTAAATTTATCTATAATTTTTTCAACTGTGTTATGTAAACAATTATGTTTTATATAAAAAAAAACAGTAAAGTATTTGTAATTAAGCATGCTATTAGTGCTAAAAACGTTGAAATTTTAGAGCTCATTGGCAAGCCAGAGTAGACTATCTCCATGTATTAATATGAACATCTTATTTCAATCGTACTTGGATGTTGGCTTGGAATTTGGCGGTCATGCGTTGGCGGAAGGTCTGCGCGGCGGCTGGGTCCGAATTGATCATCTGCTGGTAGCGCTCCTCCAGTTCTGACCATTCCTTCATAACCTTCGTGATCTAAAATAATATATAGCCTTTTAGACGACTTCAAAAAAGGAAGAGGTGCCTAATACTACAGTAGTTTTTCGTATGCATATTCTACAATGACTTCTGTGTCAAAGTATTTTAATGTTTTTTTTTTTAATATAAAATAGGCTATACTTCAAGGGTTTTATTTATTTATTTTTGAAGGAAATTATGTAATACAAATGCGAAAATAGTAAATATAAACCAAGATCGCTTATACAAGTGATAAAACCTCGTTTATTGGAGATCATTTCATTCAATAGTTCAGCGAATATGAGTTCGTCTTGTAAATTAAATATGAAATCGATATTGATTTCCGCCAGCTCCATTGAAGTTTTTAATTGCAATTTTAAGTGCTTATTTGTCACTTAAATTAATGAATGAATGAAATATACTGAAATATACCAGAAAAATATAAGAGGAAAAAACAACACATTATTTAAAGGTACAATTGGCTACCTTATCGCTTAGAAGCGATCTCTAGCAGGCAACCATATTGCAGAGAATATACTGACCTGTGAGAAAGGGTTAAGGTGTACGAAAATTGTTAGAACATACAACTATAATTAATTATAATATATACGAATATAATTTATGTACTCGATAAACACATTCATAATATTAAAAAAAAATACATTTCAATTACAAAATATAGAAACACAAGACCAGAAAGGAGTAAACAAGTAAGTGAAATAAAAGTCCCAACGTAAGGAAAAGTAATTAGTAATATTTAAATGAACGATGTGAAGGACAGATAGAGGAATAACAATTTTAGGAGAAAAGAAGTGCACTTTGACAAGATTTTTAAACTTTTCAATAAATCACACACTTTTAATGTGCAGCAGTAAGGAATTCTAGAGCCGAACAGCTTCAATAGAAAAGGATTTAGAATAGAAGGAAGTATTAGGGACGGAATTTTTAAGGTGAGGTTTTTATCAGAGTGAAGAGAGCTACAGAGGGTGTCATCAAGAAACTCAAACTGCTTGATTAGATGAAGGAAATCGTGATCTGTCTGAGAAATTTAAAATAGATTATCAGGAACAAGTTACGTCCGACAACATGAATTGGGTGTAAAGCAATTACTCGGCGAACCCTCCCTTGCTACATAATAAAAGAAAAGTCTGATGCCCAAGTACTCAACCGCTACTCAATTTTTAGACGACGTTAAGTCTCGTGATGTCATAGTCACTTTGACTTGAAGTGATATTCCCCAATGGGACGTATACAGGGTTAACATCTTACCTTTTCGCGATGAGTTTCTTCAAGACGTTGTTGGGCATCCTTGTAGCTTTGGTGCTCAGTGCGAGGGTCAAAATGCGAGAAGTAAGGATCCGAAGTAGCGGTCGATGCCTTGAAAAAGAGGAGATAAAATACATTTTTAAAAAACAAGGACAATCATATCTTTTGTTCCATTTTCACAGCATATGTGTCCTTTAAGTCAAATTCTGCCTAACCTGAACTTTACTATGCCAAGATTTAGTAAGGAATTGGTGGCAATTAGTGATGATAGAAAATATTATCACCCCAATACTTTGGGAGCTAAATCGGTTTTATTTTTGGGGGGATTTTAGGCTTGAAAACATCTGGATTCAAGCTAGGCTTAGCTTCAATCCAGATGTTTATGGCACATTGTTATTGCAAAGGTGAGTAGACATACTGTGATAAAGTAGAAAGAATAGAACTATATAATTTACCGGCATAAGAATTTGCTGGGATTTGTATTTTTTTTCTTTCATATATTTACTTACCACGGTGGTGGAAGTAGTTGTAGTCGTGGTAGTGGTACTAGTAGTCGAAGGTGCGGAGGAGGTTTCAGGACGAGGCCAAGCGTTGTCATCACTGTCGGTGTAATCGTCGTCCTCAGCGTCATCGTCACGGGAAAGATCAGCGTCTTCATCCTCGTCCATATCTGGGGAACATCAAAATTCATTAACTTAGTAATATTTAGCATCAAAAGAAGATAAATTAATAAGTTATGATTCGCTAGAGCAGTGGATAAGCGATTGATCATAGCGTTACTACGGCCGCGGGCTCAAATCCCACTCGGTACAATCGTTTGTGTTACCTACAAATAGCTGTTTCATGGCTGGATATTTCTTCATGTGCAATTTATGTATATAAAAGTCTGGAAAATCCTGGTTTAAGGATAATGTTATAAAAAAATAATAAGAAAATGGAAAAATATTGACCTAAGCAGCTTCAGAATTTTGAGTGAGAATTTTGAGAAATTGTTGAGAAGAAACTTACCATCATCGGCGTCATCATCGTCGTCATCGTCGCTCAGATTAAGGTTGTCGTCATCGTCATCAGCCAATCCGTCCTCATCGTCCAGAAGATCATCATCACGTTCATCCATCGCAGCGGAAGCAGCCAGCATTTCTTCACCACCTGGGCTTACTGGTACACCGACGTCCATTGGCTTATGCATTTTTACGTTTTCTGAAACAAAGTTCATTGACTAATGTTTGAATATCGAATGTATATAAACCAATAAGATAATTATCTTTCTCTTTTTCTCTTTCTCTCCCTTTCCCTCTCTTTTACGCTCTTTGATTTGCATTTCTATTTAACATTGATTAGACTAAGAACAATTATTTAAGCATTTATTTTTTAAATTCTTACCCTTGAAATGTTTGGGACAGCAGACAAATTCAACGCCAGAGAACAAGCTGATTCCGCAAGGCAGTAGCATAGCAAAGGTTCTTAGCCTGAGTCCTCGTTGTGCGCAGGCGCGTCCAGCGGTTGCGTTCCAGCGGGCAAACTGCCAGCATCGGCTCTGGTTATGGATGTGGTCGAAGAGACAGCTTTCGGGCACCAGCAGCGCGTCTGATTGGAATGGACCTTCTGCCGACAAACACTCTTTGTAGTTAAATTGTTACATTTATAAAAATGTATCCAAAACATTTAATGAAAAATGAGAAGATATTCTTGATATGGAGTATATAGTGAGAGATACAGATATGTTGTGTTATTAAAAATAGTTATATGTTAAAAATTTCTAGCATTGCATATCATCATAATCGTCATCATTATTACAGCCCATCACCAGTGATAGGCCTATGTTCAGCATTAGTCTAATGCTGAACATAGGCCTCCCTCATAAAATGCCACAAAAAGGGTACCGAGCTACGTGCATCCATTGATTTCCAGCATATCTTGCCAGGTCGTTATTCCATCTATTAGGGGTAGCCCTACACTTCAATTACTGGTGTGAGGCTGCCATTCGAACCTTTCTTAATATATCTAGCTATAAGGCCGGATAATTGCCACTTAGCTTAATGGTCCGTTAGGCTATGTGGGTCATTTTGGTTCTACTGCGGATATTCTTATTAAGAGGTTTGTCACGCAGAGAAACTCCAAGTATGGTTCTCTTCATAGCGACTTCTTCTAAGAGACCTTAAGCTCTTATACAGCCAACAGTGAAGGACCACGCCTTAGTTCCATATTTATATCATCAATAACCTCTCGCTCAAAGCATTGAATAATGCTTATTTTTATTTATTCAGTCAAGTCCCACCTGGTGTTAAGGTAATAAGCAATTTGTAACATATTTTTTTTTATATTTTAAGCGATGCTTGACTCTCGCCTTATGGTAAATGGTGATGTAGCCGAAGATGCTATAGTGTGTACAGATTACAGAGTTTAACAAAAGTCTATTCACTCTCGTAGGTGGTGATCTGTCATACAAGAAATCCTAGTATAGACACAAATCTCTCACAAGTAGATTGTCGCATTGAATTTGTGAGAAATTTATTTTATATTTTAATATGCATTATTACTGTTGCCTTCTTACATTGTATGTGAATGGAAAGACAATACTAATGGATTATTTCACTCTATCGCAGTACAAACGACGAAGCAAACCAAATGGATGGGTTTTCGAATGAAAATATGTATATCTCTTCCAACACTAGAGGTAGATGTGATAATATTATCAAATTGTAATAATTGCTTGTATCTCATTATGAGTGAACCATTGAATGTTGTTATGAAAAATAAAATTCTTTAAACCGAAACCGAAAAAGGGGTGGAGACTGGTCGAGCGTCTGATTGTCCGATGGTGGAAGTAAGAAACAGGAATCAATCTCTGAAATGTAAGCTGTAAACTGAGATACTGGCTTTTTTACGCCTGTGCTCGACACTTGTTTAGTTTTAACCAGTTCAAAGGTCTTTTAGCGAAAATTTCCATTAAGTCCTAAGCCAAAGGTAATCTGAGGTGGCACTTTGCAGCACAAGCCCATCTTCTTCTTTCCCTCTGTTATAAGACTGTCGAAAAGTTCAATTCTACATGACATGGGCACCTCCATTTTGTGAGAGAAATTACCTTAATCTCTACGCTTGGCAGGCCCATATGCGGCATCGATCAATATTATTATGGGAACTTAGTAATATCTTCAATTTTGTTTAAAGATTTTGGGATTCTCATGTATTATAAAATATTATATACCATTTGAATGAGAAAATTTTACCAAATACATACCAAGACAACGGAATGGCTTCACCCAACGTGTAACCTTGCATTTAGCAGCGTTGCCGGTTCCAACCTTGCACCAATTGCTGACTTTCACGTAGTGCGAGGCTTCCACGATGTTGGTTATATCGTGGCTAGGGTACACCTGCAAAGAAAATATATATTAATGAGACATAAGATTGAATAGTTTTTTTTATTAAATTAAAGTGACAGACGAACCTATACCTGCACTTGCAGTAGCCACTGCAGTCCACGTGCATCTATAACTAACTTAAAACAAAGGAGAGTACGGATGTGTCACCTCTGAGGACTGACGGAATGCCTTACAGCGTGTTATTATGCTGACTCTCTATACCATTCAAACCGGAACACATTTTACGTGTTAGAGCCATGCGGCAGCTATATTAATAGTATAGGTAGTTGTAGCATGAATGGGTCGGCTCGACCGGGGAAGGACCACGCTCTCACAGAATACCAGCGTAAAATAGCAGGTTAACGCTGCTGTATTTCGTATTGTGAGTGTAGAGAACCGGAGACCTATTTTACTGGAAAAGAGGCATTCTATCTTAGTCCTCACGGCTAACAACGCATCTGCATTTTTATTAGCAAACGAGGATAGATGTAGATTTCTATGGGCCAAAGCAACCACTTACCATCAGGTGGACTGTGTGCTCGTTTGTCTCTCTCATTCTATAAAAAAAACACAGCAGTGTAAGCACAGCTGTTTGGAGGTATAAATAGGTAAGAGGGTGGCATATACCCAGGCCGACACATAAACAGAAATGCAGTCCTACTTAGTCTTAAACTTTAAAAATAAGAAACATTTTCTGTAAGTTTTGTATTTAATTAATTGATTTAATATATTCAAGTTACTAATAACACTAATAATAGTATAGTTACTAATAATAACCAATCAGAACAGATTCTATTGCTAATTTGATACAAACAACACTAAAGCCGATTCAGTTTTGATTAATGAATTTACGCCAACATAAAGCTGATGAGTCGACGGTTTGTAAATAGAACTGTAATTGATGAAATGTTCTTTAAGTTTGTAAATCATTATTAACAGATTAGACGTCAAGTTTATTATATAAAAGTAATTTATATTTTAAAATATTATTTGTCCAATTTTTCTTCTTTCTTTCTTTATTCTTTATTGTATGTACAAACTATAAGATGTTAACAATTTGAAATATTTAAATAATGTACAACGTTTTTAATGTATGTCGTTTGCATGCTGTTAACGTAATTTCCATCACATTTTTTTTTTGCTATATTTCAAACATGTTAGAAAAATGGCCAACAAAAACCTGAATTAGTTTTAAAGTAAATGCACAAAATTTTATAAAAATAAGATTTTTAATTCATCTAACAAATCTATGATTGATTGGAAAGCGCAATCGATTAATCAATGTCGTTGAAGCTGAATATATGAGAAGTATAAATCACGATGTCAGCCAAATCCGTCAAAGATCGTCCAATTATTTTCGATAGAATAAGTGTGGAAAGCCAGCACCTAGTAGTGGTTGATATGGCCCATAGACATCTACATCTATCCTCGATTAAGAATCAAAATGCAGGTGCGTTGTCACACCCGGGGACTAAGATGGAATATCTTGTTTCCAGTAACAAGGGCTCCAGTTCTCCACACTCATGGTCCTTCCCTGATAGAGCCGACCCATTCGTGTTACATCCATACTATAGCTGCAGGATGGTGCTACCAAGTAAAATTGTAGATTACTTTCACGCTGATGTGATGTGTTGTTCTCTTTCGAGAAGAATTTATTATTATATTATTATTATTATTATATTTTCTACCGACTTCAAAAAGAAGGAGGTACTCAATTCGACTGTATGTTCTTTTTTTACTTGAAAGCTGGTGCTTTTCACGTGATCCCATATAAATTTGATCAAGGTCTGACCAATAGTTTTTGAGTTATTCTTAATAATTTATATTGAAGTCGGTTGTACAAAATTTTTTATTTATAATTATCGATTTACCTTTTTGCAGTAGTCCAGTATCTCCATTTTGTCCTTGAGGCAGTTATGAGGCTTGGTGGTTAGATCCGGTGTCCATCTCCCAGCGGCTGACATGTATTGTGGATGGTAAGTGGCGCCTGATTCGCATAGCACCGCCACCTGGGGCTCCGCTCCGCTTGTCGCCTGAAACAATGAAATCAAAATTAATTGTTAAAAACTACTTATGCCTTGAAAATTTTGTTCTTCTAACTTCATATTCGTTTATCTTGAAAACTTCTGCACAGATGTAGAGACTTGAGAAACTTTTATGTAACGATAGATGACTGCATCCCGAGAACCTTTCTTACTCATCGTCTTCTTGTCGATTCTTTGAGCCATATACTTATCTTCATGCACAATCCCTGACGGGGTAGCCAGAGAGAACAGATCGCCAAGTGTCACGATCCTTACATACCTCTTTCGCTTCTTTCAGATTCATTATCTTCTTCATACATGCACGTCTAGGTATCCGAGTACTCTTGAAAATGTTGAGCCGTATGGACAGCCTATTGCCCATTGCTTTTAAATAACGTATTTATTATGACAATGATAGTCGTCTGCCGATTCTATTAGTGATTTTTATTCAATGTTGTTGACACTTTCACCACAAGGTAAATTGTATAATTAAAAAAAATCATTTTTTTTTTAAATAATAGCTCTAACAGCAAATAACATTGTAACTTATAAAATAAATAGCAGTTCCAGTCTGATAGGTATAGATGACCAGTATTATTTCACACTGTGAGAAATTCAATCTTAGTCCCCAAAGGTGACAACGCATCTGTAGCCTTCTGTGTTTGAGATTAGCTGCAGGTGTCCATGGACTACTGTAGCCACTTATGATCAGGTGGACTGAAAGTCCATTTGCCACTCCAGTTTTATTAAAAAAATACCGAATTAACCATAACCTAGATCCAGTTCGTTCAATTTTTCGTATTCACGGTAATGGAACTTTCATGCACTAAATTTTATACTATACTGATAATATGTAAACAATGTGAAACTTTTTCTCAATTTACTGATCGATTAAAAAGGTCTATTTAAAATAATTATGATGGTGCAATCCATAATAATCTAAGAAATTTCAATGTGTCCTACAATGTGGCCACCTTGACTTTTTAAGTTTTGAAGCTAAAATCACATCAGTCTTATCTATCAAAATTTTCACTCTAATAAACTGTAATGATTTTTTTATGTTTACTTTAATTTATGTATTAAACATTGAAATATCGGATTACTTTATCAATTATTTAAAATATGAGCTATAAACTATATTATTTAGTTTTCCTATTAAAATGTATATATTTCCATATTTGATAGTTAATTATAAATGTATTTCGGTTGCCAACCAGCTTGCCAAACGTGACAACTATAGCAAATATATATAAGAATTAGGAAGCAATCTATGGGGAAGCATGTTCAGCAGTTAACTTTAATAGGATGCAACGGTAACGGTACTAAACTCATTTAGTAACTTACTGTGTTAGAAATGATTAAACTAGTAAAAATAGTACTTTCTATAATCGATTCGTCATTTACTTTCTGTTATGCACATCCTACGTTTATAAAAATATATTAGTGGACAATTATTTCTTAATTCAGGAACCCTATTTCATGTTTGAACGTTGAAAGAGTATAATAAGATAAAAATGGAGGACCTTTCAACTCACGTCGGCACTAAATAAATTCCACTCACCCAGAAATGCTTTTTATGTCCGCGATAAAGTGCTCGTTTATTTTGAAGAGTTCGGATTGACAAACGAATGGAACGCTGCCGAGACAATATTAAGATATATTACCTACCAGTTACAGAAACTTAGTAGTAATATTTTTTGTATGTAAATACTTCTCTTCCAACTTACCGTTTGTTTAAATCAATTTCAATTGAGTTCAACATGTTTTGTATAAATAGAATCCTGTTAAACATTATGGCGTAAAAGCCAACTTTCTTAGCAGTTCCTTAATTTATAATTATCAGTTTTTTATCGTTGTAGAGTCGCGCTGCAGTAAAATTATTGTTGCAGCATGAATACTTCTGTTTGTCGACCGGGTGAGGCAAATCATTCTTACAAAATACCACACACAATAGTAGCTAAATGCTGCTGTTTCATATGGTGTGTGTAGCGAACCGGACACTCTCTTTACTAGAAGCAAGGGATACTGCCTTAGTCCTTAGGGGTGTCAACGTATCATTTTGATTTTTAATCGATTATAGATGTAGTCGTCTATGACATTTGCCATCAGGTGGAAGGTGTGCTCGTGCTCGTTTGTTACCCTTTATCAATAAAAATTAGCAATTGTCTTTTTCGTAGTCTTTTCGTAGCCCTTTAGAATCGTTAGACCACCATCCAGAATAGGCAAAGTGAAAGGAAAAGAGAACTGTGCCTTAAACCGGGACAAACAGCAAAAAAGGTGAAGTGGAATTAACTAAAATGTGACCAACAATATATTTTTTAAATTCAACCACCTGTAGCTGAATCGGCAGCGTTGTTCATTTCAGAAATTAAATACTACAGTGAATAGATTCCGTTACTCGTATTTACTACAGCAATTTTTTAATTTCATTCTTTATACAATTATTTCATTATAGATTATAAAGGTTCACAGCTAAAAAGGCCTCCCCCTATAGATAGTCTCTTATTTAGTATTTTGCCACAGTTGCCACGCTTGCCAGTAATGCTGCTGTACATCTCCTGTTTCAGTTTCTCTTTGTTACCTCTAACGACACCCACGGGACGGTATAGATTAGTGAATATTCTCACACCGCCACTACACGGTACACGATCGTCCTTGATGCAATTTTTTTATAGAATAAGTGTTACAATCGAACACACAGTCCACCTGTTGGTAAATGGATGCTGTGGCCCATAGGTATCTACATTTATCCTCGATTAACAATCAAAATGCAGATGTGTTGTAAGCCCTGAGGACTAAGGTGGAATGCCTCGTTTCCAGCAAAAAGGGTCTCTCCGGTTCTCTACACTCGCCCTACGAAGCACAGCAGCATTAAGCTGCTATTTTACGCTGGTATTCTGTAAGAGCGTGTGAGATCGTGGTCGAGCTGACCCAATCGTACTACAACTATAATATAGCTGCAGCTTGACTCTACTTCGTATAATATTCCCTGTAGTGCAATATATAATACCCTGTTAGGTGGATCTGGACCGTATTTTGTGGCAATCTATGGAAAGACCTATCATAATAACTGTCCTAAATTATAATGCAGATTATGAGAAGATAACATCTTTATTGGTTATAATTTCCCATTTACCTATAGTTAGAAAACCGGACATGCCGCTAGTTTGAGAATATTTCAAGCTTACATGAGGCATTAAGTAAACACCAGTAGATGTTTGTAATATCATCTTTTGTATAAACTACACCAACTTTATACTACGTACTTGATCTGGAAGTGATGTGTAGCTAGACAAATAGACAACGTTTCACCAAATTCGTCTAGACATAGAATAAGGAAGAGAGCGTGCTGTCTAGTCAGTTTTATGGATTACGGAAACTCGATGCAGACATAGTAAGGACATTGAACCCTCATCCTATAAATAACTAAAGTACTGACCGTTTATTGGATTTAGAGTTATCTTTATTGTGTGTTGATTTTGCATATAAAACGTTCTTTCATACAACATTATACGAGAATGGTAACATTTAAATAATCTTACAACGTAGTTTCTTTGACTGCGTTTTAAGATTATTTAAATGTTACCAACTTAAATCTCTTTATACAATGTCATTAATAAATCTTACGATGAGAGATTGGTCATAGTTTCATTGTAAGTTCACCTTCACATTGTTTTAATGTGCTTAAACTCAAGAGTATTTTTTTATTTATAGGATAGGGACCTATAGATCCATAGACATCTACATCTATCCTCAATAAATAATCAAAATGCAAATGCGTTGTTACCCTTGAGGACTAAGATGGAATGTCTCGTTTCCAGTAAAACGGGTCTCCGGTTCTCTACAGTCAGCATACGAATCACAGCAGCGTTAGGCTGCTATTTTACATTGTGTGACCCATTCTCATCATAGCTGCAGCATGGCTGCAGTATAAGTTATTAAGGAGTGATGTAAAATAATCACCTGTGTAGTGGCGGTGTAATATCCACATATCGGCCCGTGTGTGTCGTAAGAAGCGACAGAGCAAAATAAACCAGAACCTGGACAGCAGCTTCTTTCTAATAACAACAAGAATAAATTAGGAAAACTGTGGTTGCCAACCCGCTCGCCGGCATGGCAACTATATCAGATTTTTTTTATAGGAAAGGGGACAAACGAGCATGCTGCTCACCTGATAGTAACTGACTACCGCCACCCATGAACAACCGCAACACCAAGGGAATTGCAGATGCTTTGCCGGCCTTTTAAAAAGGAGTAGGATCTTTTCTTGAAGGTCCCTAAGTAGTATCGGTCCGGGAAAATCGCTGATGGTAAACTATTCCACAAGGAAGTTGTGCGAGGAAGAAAACATCTTCTAAATCGCACAGTGGTGGACCGCCAATCATCCAGATGGTGCGGATGGTATCGGGAGTTCTGCCGCGATGTGCATATCTCCCCTATAAGGCAATATATGGGAGAGGAATGTATTTAAAAGTGGCCTTTCGATAGGCTGTAACGGAGCGACGCACGGTTAAATGGTTCGATTAGAATTTTAGTAATTAAAAAAAAAACTAGTAGTACAGTTTTTTACATAGTAGTAGTAGCTACTACTACTACTACTATGTAAAAAAAAACTCCATTGAAAATCCCGCCCAAGTTATATTACTTTTACGCTTTATCTGTGTTTAAAAAAGCAGTTCATTGCCTCCATAATGCCCTTTCATGGGTTTTTCCACTTAGCAAACACCGCACCGATGTTTTATTTATTTTGTCGATCGATGGAAACGTGATGCCGCTCGTCTAGGTCAGGATGAGTAATAATTGCGCTAGCATGCCCGAATATGCCCCATGAGCACACAAATATTAGAAGGTGTCAGAAATAATATTACGTTATAGGATATTTCCTTGCCTTTTTTCATATAAAAATCTATGGGGAATTTCTTTATTGAAATAAATTGGAA